GTTGTGTCCTGTGCGACAGCGTGTGCCGCGACGCTAACCGCGGGCGATATCGGGGCCGATAAGATTGTGCGCCAGCGGCAGCGGGCGGCAGCGGGCCCCTCTCAAATAGCGCTGTCACGTTGGCACACGAAGTGCGTCCAATTCGACGTTTTAGACGTCGCCGCTCATGCAGAGCGCCTGCCCCACCCCGCCAACGACCCGGGGCCTTCCCTGCTGGGGGAACGATTCCATTAACCAAAGTTGGCCCCGGGCCGCTCTCTCGCTCCGCACCTGCGCCTTTCTCAGGAGCCCGTCCTCGGTCTGTCATGAAGCTCGCTGCTCCTGGAGAGTCGTCGTGGCCATGAGAGGGCCGGGCAGGGGGCGGGCGCGGGCCGAGGCGCGGGCGGTGCGCGAGCAGAGAGGGGCAGCGCGGTGGTCACGGGGCGGTCACTCAGTCCAGCGGAGCCGTAGTGGGTCAGGGCCGGGCCGTCTGCACGACCACCGCAACGCCTGAGAGACGAGGTCGCCACAAGAAGACGAAGAGGAGTATGGATGGGGTTGATGAGGGCAGCCTTGTCGTCGCGGAGAAATGAGGTCTGCGACATGCCCACCCGCCGGCCGAGTTACTCACGCCAAGGGCCTGGGGCGGGGGCGCCACTCACCGCCCTGTCGTGACTCCAATCAGGAATTTTTACTCCCGCATTTGAGAGTTTGTTTTCCCAGCGAAGAGTACCTTGCCGGCAGCCCCCCTACCCCTCCTCATCCTCGCCCCCTGCCGGCGCTCGCGTGCGGGCGCATCGCGCACCTGGGTAGCGACACGGCATTCCCAGAGGGTAAACGAGAGAGGGAGGAACCAAGAGAGAGGGAGCGAGTAAGAGAGAGAGAGAGAGAGAGAGAGAGAGAGAGAGAGAGAGAGAGAGAGAGAGGTCGAGGCGAATCAATGTGTACCCGCGATCGTTTGATGGAATGCTCTGCGATGGGTACTTACGACTCACGTACCTGCTACTCAAACTACGTAATGCGGCGCTGCATACTGCTTGTCAGATTCGTTTCGATGTACACACGGTAGCACGAGGTGAAGCTGCTACCCCCGTATCGAGTGCCTCCCCCCGCTCCCGCTAGGAAGGGAAAGAACAACAAATAGCGGTGCGCGGTTGCTCCGGGCATCCCATTCAAAAGAGGGGCTGTATGCGTCCTTCATGGGAACGGTATGAGCTGGCGTGTGAAATCTTCGCCTTGGCCGAGAGGTCCTGGAGGGGGCCGAGGCCTCAGCGCGTCTGCCAATCTGCATTGACACTTCACTTTTGTCTCCTTCTTTGGCTGCGCTTTGCTGGAATGCCAAGGGCTCTGCCCCGCACTGCACTGGCACTGGCTCCCTGGCTCCACGCAGCACACGCCCGCTCCCACGCTCGGGGCCTAGCCAGGCCCAGGTGCCCAGGTAGCGCACCGAGGCGATGACCGCCTACCGGCCACGGATTAGCTTCTCTCTCTCTCTCTCTCTCTCTCTCTCTCTCTCTCTCTCTCTCTCTCCCTCCCTCCCTCGCGTCCTCTCGACCGGCGAACGTCAAAAGGCGCCCGCGAAAAGACAAGAGTTTTACTGTCCTTTTCTCTTGATCTCGTGCCTATTAGTGCCAGTGTTTATGGCCTCTCCCCCCACCCCCTCCCCCGCTTTGAGGTCGCACCTGCACCAGGATGACACTCTTGAGGTGACGGACGCAAAGCCAGAATAAAGCCGATGTAGCAGTGCAGTGCCAGCGCTGCGCGGCCCGCACTTTCTCACGGTGCCACCTGGGGGCGAGCCTGGGGGCCCGGGCAGCACCGGGAGGGAGTGGGTGTCTGCGAGAACGTGTAATGAGCGAGACCGCGGCCACGCACGGCCGCAGGAATGCAGCAGACAATCCACGGCGCTCTTTTATTTTTCGCGCATTTACGCACATTTACATGAGCTGATTTGCACGCGGTTTTCACACAATTTGTGCCACCACCCAGCGCGTTCAAAATAAGTGTGCATAAATGACCAAGATTGGACCTTTCTAGGGAAAAACATTGTTCCTATTCCGACTCCAACCGCATAGCATCTTGGTTTCTCTGAACTAGAACTGAATACACATCCCGTTCACCTTAGCTCTGTAAAAGGAGCGCGCAGGCGAGAGAGAGCTGGGCTTCAGCGTGGCAAGCGAACATGAAAAGGTGTCAATATAAGACAAAACATGGAGCGTCAGGCGTGGCCTCCTTCTCACGCTCACACAAAAAATTGGCCGAGGACTTTAAACAATTGGCGTCCAATAAGACACATTTAAGCGTATATAAAGACGCCAAAATATGGTGGTGTCTTAGGCGAAAAAAAAAACAACGCAAAATTTTGGCGTCTTAAGACGCCAATACGTATTTGGTGTTCCCTGAGAGTATGCTAGATTGGTCTTCAAAGACGCCAAAATTTTGCGATTTTTCAGAGAACACACAAAAACAAGTGTCCGACGTGTGCAAGTTATGACGTTTAACATTACATGGTAGTTAACTCAAGTTGCACACTTGCGTGGTGTGCACATTTTAAACGTTTTGTAAACGCTTAAATTCTGCACACTTAGTCACACACAAATTTATAGGAACCATGTGGTGTGTAGCTGCTATACTTTTCGGAAGTGTTGAAAGTTTAAACACCAAGTGACGTTTAACCTAGGTAGACACCACAATGCGTTGAAAAAATGCACACTTGAATTTAAACACCAATTGACTTGCAACATTAAACACTTGTTTTACCAGTGTGGTCACGTACTCGTTTTAGTTTTTAGTAGTCATCCGTAGTTCTGTAAAAATATTTTTCTCCTGAAATTTTATGCCACCGTACGCTAATGCTCGCGCGTTCGCACTCTACTTCATTCTAATTTTTTTACTGATTTTTTACTAGAAATTTTATTTAGCAACTACTAAACTCTTATGCTGTTGAATGTTACCAAGAAGGCATTACTAAACTTTTTCGTAACTGTACTAAACGTTTTCCTCGTACATGATTAAAACAGTTACGGTAATAGGAAAAAGTTTATAGTAGTACCTGAAAAGTTAGCAGGAAAAATTTTAGAACTACTAAATAATTTCTTTCTGGATAATAACAGCACTAAAATCTAGTAGTTAGTTACTAAACAAATTTTCTAGCAAAACGTTTAGAGTGTAAACTGGAGAGCCCCCGCACTCCAGGGACCCTGCGGCAGTGCGCGATGCATAGCTCTCGGGGGCCGCGCGTGGGTATCCGGTCCCCGGACCGATCTAATCCAGGTAGCGGTGAGGCGAGCACGTCGGGGGCACTTCGGGGCACTTCGAGCCACTCCGAGACATTTCATGTCAGGAGGCCCGCGCACGCTCTTCAGCACTACTCGACTCTCGCCGGCCGCTCGACCGCTGGCATCGTCTGTCGGGCAAAGAGCCTCTCGCCTCCAAACTTCCTCATGAGTGATTACTCGGCCGCGGACACACCACCGCTGCAGCAACACTGTTGTTTGCGGACACGCCCCTCGCTCGCTCGCCTCGCCCTCCACGCTCCACTCCCAGTCCCGATGGCTGCCATAGAGTTTATGAGCCGATATAAAACAAGATAGTGTAATAGAGCGAGCGGTCAAGTCTGAAAGCGAGCAGAGCGCTGAGCCGGAGAGGATTACTCACGAAACAAAACAAAAAAAGAAAGGGAGAAAAAGACTGGAAAGATGCGGCTGAAACCGCGTGTTTTACTTGCTTGTAATTCTGTATTTATCTGAAATGTCCAAAGCAGAGTTAATCATTCAGGTCGCAGCTACATGTTGTAAGGTGTATCAAAACTCGATACCACTACAAGTTTTCTGTGCATACGTATAATTCTATGTTACTTTACCCCCCCTCCCCCCGCCCAGAAAAATGAATTCCTTAATCAAGTAAATCAAGTAAAGGCCAAGGCAAGACAAACGCATTGCCTTGTCCATATAGAAATTTACTCGTATGAAGAATTCATTTTTCTCGGAGTCTTGCTCTTGCGTGTCTTGATCCGGTCGGCGCAGGAGCGTATACAGTACGTACTTGGCGTACCTACGGCGATAATGTTAGGTAAGCATTTGCCGAGTGGGGAGCCGGTTGTGATTTCGGAATGGGCGGGGGACTGGGAGGGGCAGTGGGGTGGGGAAGGGGTAAGGGTTGAGGGTGAGAGATGGAGTGCAAGGCGGGGCGACGGCAGCTGGTCGGGACGAGACACCCGGCTCAGCGTGGAGAGCGAATACTCGACCGGTAAGCTGCGGCTCGACCGCGCGGCAGTAGTAGTGTAGTAGTTACATTGGCTCTTCGTGTACACTCCCCGCCAAAACGTGACCCAACCTTTTCTAAAAGACGACACTATAGGTTTTTCGAGACTCCCAGTTTTAATGCGGTGTGCACATAATGGTTATGAAGGCAGTATGCTTAATAAAATCGAAGTCTGCTTAATCAGTACTTAATACTACAAAGATAAAAACAAACAGAACACATGTACTATTACCTACAAAAAACCATCCAGATTTTTTCCTGTGCACAAACCAATAAAAGTTTCGATGTTGCATCTGGCAAAGCGCGCGCGCGCATCCCCCCCCCC